GTTACTTGGGTTAAGTAACCCAGCCAGCTTATGGAAGCGGGTTTGATCCGCTAATAGCCAAAGGCACATGGCTGTTATCCCTTTGCAGCTCAGTTCCATAATGGCTCTCCCGCCCTGGAGCAACTTGATGTGAACATACATGTATTTGCTGCTACATGGGGCTGAGTTGTGAAAGCTGCCAGAGGCTTCCCTCAATTCTGCATCTTTAGCAGTTTCATGGCTAGGCTGTGCTACCTGCAAGCAGAAGCGACAGCAATAGGACACATTTCTATTTAGCCTGCTGTATAATCCCGACCCCTGAGTGTCCAACAGAGTATGAGGAGCAACATCTGCTTTCCTTCACTTGCTTATTCCTGCACCCCCTGGATCCCTTCCTGCAAATGCATTTATCTATACAATACATTCCCAGTCAGACGGAGCTGTATACTAGCTCCCTGCTACATTTGCCTTCTCCCATCTGGGCACAGCAGCTAGAGGATGCTACAAATTAAGATCTACTTAGGGTAGCTTTAGAATTCAGCTACTTGTAGGTCAAAAACATGGTCATATGCCTAAATAGAAAGAATGTGTTTCACTTAGGTGGATTATAAAGCATCACCAAGATGTTTGATCCCTCCTGAGCAGACAGGTGTCAAATCCTACTCCTCCAAGAGGAAGGCTTCAGCCACCCTGCTCAGTAAAACCAAGAGCTGAGGTACCCTCTTCAGATAAGAGCAGCAACCACTCTGTGCCCAAGCCCAGCCTCACTGTCAGACCTCATTGCCCACATCCTCTCACCAGCATCCTCATCACCCTGCTGAAAGAGCAAAGCCAGCACTGTCAGTCTTCTCCCAGCTTTCAGGCAGGACAGCACAAGAGCTCCGAGGTGGAGCAGAAGCATCAAGTGGCAGATGGATGAGTTGATGCAGCCTCACTGTGTTACAGCTCGTATCTCAGGCAGGTTGGTGGCACTGCAAGGGCTTCCAGAAAAGCAACATTCCCAGGTTTTGCAGATTCAGATACACTTTCTGATACAGATTCAGTTCCTGCAATGGGGCAGGAAACAGGCTCCAAGTTTCCTGTTTCTACTGCGTGTTCCCTACAGACTTAAAGACACATTCAAACCCACCACCTCTTTGCAGCTAAGTCCTCCTCCACCTTGACAGAGCTCAGGAGCATGGGGCTGGGGATATTTCTCACCACCCTCAATATAACTCAGTTATTTTTTCTATTTCACATCAAGTTTCCTAAGAGCTCAGGGCCATTTGGGGTCACACTGGAAATTCAGATACCAAGGGCTTGGGATAAAGGGAAAAGGAACAAGGGCTGGTATTTTCTCATTGTCTGTTCTCATTGCAAGTTACTAGGCTTTAGCTAACCAGGTAGAAAGAACTGGAATTAGCTAAAAAAAGGGCAGAAAGGGTTTTGCACCAAAACTGTCAGTCCTGTTCTGCAGGGCCATTGAGCATTTTATCTGCAGGTACCAGCTCCTGATGCCCATCAAACTGAACAAAGACTGACTTCTAATGCTTAAGTCACTGGACTGTGTGGCTTTGCCCAGGCAGCAGCACCTCCAAAGGAGAGCAGCTTATTTTCAATGGAGACTTTGCAGCACAGCTAACCACAGCCATCGGCTATGGGATGTTTATTCACCTCTTCCATTAGAAGCACGTTTCCGGGTGCTCATCTGGGTAAGTGCAAACCTGAGGAAATGCCCAGGCAGGGGCACATGTCCTTTAGGCAGGGAGAAAAAGGTTTGGCTGAATGTGGGACTGAGCCAATTGGATCATTACGGCAGGATAAGGTATCCCAGCAGCAAGGACAGGAGTGCTGGTTCCCAAGACTGAACAAACCAACTCCATCCACAGCCCCATGTCTTAACCACAGGGAACAAACACCCCTTCAGCCTCAGGACACCTGTGGGTAAGACAGGTCTTCAGAGAGGCAGCTCTTTAGATTTTTGGTGACTTGGAGGTTGCTCCAGGCACAAGGCTCCTTCAGAGCCCTCCTGCACATCATCTGTCCCGTTCCCAGTCTGGGAATTGTCTCACCAGAGTTAAGTCCACCCCCATTAATGAAAGGAACAACTAGTGCAGCAGGTTAAAGCAGCAGGGACAGAAGAAAGGGCTGGTGCCGGGCGCAGTGCTCAGCTTGCCAAGCTGCTGAGCCCAGCACCACCAGCATTGTCCTCCCCATCCAATTCCAGCTGTGCCTAAAGCCCTTGCTAGCCAGGGATGAGCGCCCATTCAGCCCAGGCACGTCTGCTGCAACCCAAGCTGGCACATCCCAAGCCGCTATTTGCCCACACTAAGCTTTAGAGGCTGCTCAGAGCCGCAGCCGTGACGCCGAAGCAGAGTCCCTCGGGGCTCAGCCGTCTCACACGGCTCCGGATCACGCTATCCAGGGAAACCGGCCCCAGCAGCAGCCCTGGCTCCGGCCCCGCACCACCACCCCCTGCACCTTGCACCGGGATGCACGCCAGCCCCGCTCCGCGCTCCCAGCCATGAACCAGCTCCAGCCGCGAGCACTGGGGCCCCCCTCCGCAGACACGCACCCCTCCCGGCCCCGCTGACCTTGATAACCTGCTCCTTGACGATGCGGGGCCCCACCAGCAGAAGGGAGACCCCCAGGAGGGCGCAGGCCGCCCCGGCCAGCCCCAGCCCCACCGACGCTCTGCGGCGGGCAGAGCCCATGGCGAGCCGCAGCACAGCGGACCCGGCCCGCGCCCGCCACCGCCGCTTTATGGCCCCGCGGCCCGGCCCGGCCCGGCCCGGCCCGGCGGAGGGAGAGGGGCTGGGGGCGGAGCGGAGCGGGGCCGGGGCGGAGCGGAGCCGGGCACCGCCTCTCGCAGAGCGCCGCCGGGGCGGGAAGGTTAACCCGCGGGAAGCGGAACGCGCTGAGAGCGCGGAGATAAACCCGTGTAGTAATGCATTAAAACCATACAAATGTGTGCATTTATGGCCACCACCGCTTAACCTGCCTCTGATTTCCCAAGGAAATGGGGTTTTTGTCTATCCTGTGCATCTGAAGCGGCCCTGGGTGAGACTTGCCACTAAAAGCATCATGGAAGTCAGCAAAAAATCAGCAATGTAGGGAAGTCCGGTTTGTAACAGCCTATTTTAAAACAATTACATGCACTCCTTCTTCTAAGGCACAGAAGGCACACTGCCACTCTCACAAAGGGCATTTTTGGTTTCCACCCTTCAGCCTCCTTTTCCCACTTCCCACCCCTCACTGCATGGTGAGCTACTCATGAGCTCCAACATCCAGCAACCATCACTTTCCCCACAGAACACTTCCGGGATTTCCCTCTTGCCAGGGCTTTTATAGCCTGTGGGACCTACCTTGTGACGTTCTAGTCCATCGTTGCATTGTCCACTTAGTGTACAACTGGAATAAAAGCACATTCCAATTTTTAATAGCCTGGTGTGCCTGAAAGTAAGAAGTTTGCTTAATGTGCTTTACAAAACTATCTACACCATAACCCAATGAGAGAGGGTTGATGAAAGGTTGATAATGAAAGGCCCACTTTAGCCAAATTTCTCAGCCTCAAGGGCTGCAGAACCCACAGTGACCTCCTGCACTGCCACCAAGCAGCCACCCACATCAGAGCAGGCTCTCAAGAGCAGTGTTACGTTAATCCATTGCTGCAGAAACAGCCAGGGCAGGACCTGGCAGTTTCTGGGTAAAGCTGGATTATCAACGCCTCCCAGCTATTGAAGGTTCACATTACATACACATGCTTACACAACCCAGCAGCTGTGTAACATCTGCAGATTGGCACCAACCACCAGTCACTGCTTCAAAAAGTTGAGGACACTTACACAACCTCAGGAGCATTGACAGCTGAAGGGTTAGTTACACTTGCCAGGCCTGTGTAAGCTTTGCATAAGGCTGTTTTGCAATACCTTTTGTACACAGAAAATACATAACTTTGGTTTCTTAAACAGCTAATTTGGTTAATGACAGACATTAAGTATTTTTCTACATATGTTAACATGACTTTACCCACTGTAGGAGAGGATCTGGTTTGAGACCATCTGAAGAACGTGAACATGCAGAACTCCATGGGACCTGATGAAATCCATCCACAGATCCTTAAGCAGCTGGCAAATGAAGTTGCTAAACCACTGTCCATCATATATGAAAAAGCATGGCAGTCGGGTGAAGTTCCCAATGACTGGAAAAAGGGAACTATAACCCCCATTTTCAAGGGGAAAATGGTAAACCCAGTAAAGGACAGACTGAACTCTGTCCTGGAAAATCCTGGAGCGGATTCTCCTGGAAGGCATGCTAAGGTTGGTGACAACCAACATGGCTTCACTAAGGGGAAATCCTGGCTAACCAATCCTGTGGCCTTCTGTGATGGGGCTACAGAACTGATGGACAGGGGCAAAGCAGTTGACTTCATCTACCTGACTTGTGCAAAGCTTTTGACACTGTCCCACCCAACATTCTTGTCTTTAAACCCAAGGGACATCAATTTGATGAATGGCTGACTTGGTGGATAAAGAATTGGCTGGATGGCCACACTTAAAAATTGTAGTCAACGGCTCAATGTCCAACTGGAAAGGGGTAACAAGTGGTTTACCTTTGAATTCAGTGTTGGTACTGAATGCTGTTCAACATCTTTGTCAGCAACATGGACAGTGAGATTGAGTGTGACCTCAGCAAGGCTGCTGGCATCACCAAGTTCTGTGGTTCAGTTGATAGAGACTGGAAGCAAGGGATGCCATCCAGAAGCACCTTGACACACTTAAGAGGTAGCCAATGCCAACCTCACAAAGCTCAATAAAGTGCAAGGTCCTAGACTTGGGCTGGGACAATTCCAGGCAGAACTACAGGTTGGGCAAAGGAGGACTCTGGGGCATCAGCTGATGAGAAAATGAACATGAGCCAGCAGTGTGTGACAACATGTTCTAGTGTGAGGCATCCCTGCGCATGGCAGGGGGTTGGAACTGGATGATCCTAAAGTCCTTTCCAACCCAGATCATTCTACGATTCTAACTTGAGACACGAGC